TCTAAATACATAAATATTATAGATAAATTACACCCAGACACAGAACAAATGATCGTGCTCATCACACAAACATTTGTCCTGGGTGGGAATCGAACCCACAACCTCCGGCATAACAGTCAGGGTCACTAACCACTAGACCAACAGGCCTGTCGTTCAAAATCATACACACGTAAAAAAATAACAGAAAGAAAAGTAAGTTTGTCAATAGATTAAACACTTACATCTATGGCCTTTGATGCGTTGAAGTAACACAAACGTAGTATTGATAGATCCACTGCGGTCAAACGACCATAAACTAACTCCATGACTGCAGTTGCTTGGTCTTATATAGTACCAGTGAGTAATAATTCTAATCTAAAGAATTTCTGCAGTAGAATTGATAGTATCTTTATGCGTCAACAAGCTTACCTTACATTCTGTTGCTTATCTCTACATTCCTACGTCCTTCCTGTCGTGTCTTGTTCAGTGTATTGGTGACTCAAATACGTTTTGTATAACACAAAGAAAGCAATTTAATATTTAGATATCACTATAATTGATCATTCCTATATTAGTCATTGAGTAGATTGGTACTGTAATAATCTACTAATAGCAGTAATATTATGGATACACTAGATGTACAACAACATCTGAAAAAGATTCACCCCAGTCTAGAAAATAATGTTTATGCTGCTAACAGACTGCCCATGTACACCCACGTACCAACGTATATACCTAGTCAGGTCATAAGTATTGTCACACAGTAAAAACTTTTCTTTTAGAATGCTGGCCACAAAAAAGTTTATTGAATTCGAATTGTTCATGAAAATAAAACTGTATACTTCTTAGAATTTTACTCATTTTTACATATGAAGTGGACGCTTAAAAAAGACCGTGTTGCAGTTGCGATTACGCGCCAATTAAATTTTTTGATATACTGAAAAATTTGAATATAACCAAAAGATTCGTTTATCGTACCATCAAACGATACAATGAAGACTCTAGTGTAGATGACAGGTCAAGAAGTGGTCGCCCTCGATTTGTTAGGACTCCAGCAGTGATAAAAGCTGTAAAGGTGCGAATTCAAAGAAATCTCAAACGTAAGCAGAAACTGTTGGCCCTTCAGATGGGGTTAAGCAGAACCACGGCGTTAAATGAAGACTTAGGGCTTCGGGCATATCGAAGAAAAACAGGACATCGTTTGAATGCTCGTCTAATGGATCTGAGACTGAAGAGATGCCGCGCTTTTGTGAAGCGGTACGCGGGAAAAAAATATCGGGAAATTCTTTTTTCGGATAAAAAAAATTTTTACCGTAGAAGAGAGCTACAACAAACAAAATGATAAGGTGTACGCACACAGTAGTGAAGAAGCGAGCAACCGTATTCCGCGTGTCCAACGAGGTCACTTTCCATCCTCGCTCATGGTATGGTTGGGAGTTTCTTATTGGAGCTTAACAGAGGTACATTTTTGTGAGAAAGGTTAAAAACGAATGCAGTTGTGTATCAAAATACAGTCCTGACGAACCTTGTGTAACCTGTTTCTCATACCATGTTCAATAACAGGCACTGGGTATTCCAACAAGATTCGGCGTCAGCTCATAGAGCGAAGAGCACACAAGAATTTTGACAGCTCCGTGGGGTAGTGGCTTAGCAATGAGTGGCTGCGCTTGGGGGTCGCGGGTTCGAATCCCGCACGGAACAAGTATTTGTACGACCTACAAGTAATTGTTCCGAGTTTGGATGTTTGTCCTTGTGAAATTTGTGTTTGTAAACTGCCCCCACGATACAGGAGAAAAACCTAAAAAAAAAAAGACTGGCTGGCGGCGCGTGAAATCGACTTCATCCGACACAAAGACCAGTCCAGATTTGAATCCGTTAGATTACAAGATATGGTAACACTTGGAGGAAAAGGCGTGCTCAAAGCCTCATCCCAATTTCGAGTCACTCAAGACATCTTTAATTAAGGCAGCCGCCGATATGACATGGACCTCGTTCGTGGTGAGATAGACGACTAGCCGCGCAGATTGAAGGCCTGTATTCAAAATTACGGAGGTCATTTTGAATAAACTATAGTGTCATAAGAATCTATGTTTTGTTAAGTTCATTTTGGTATATAAATGGTTACATAATGAATAAACTTGTTTCAATTATTTTACATTAAACATGTGATAGAATTTATGACCTGACTAGGTAATATGCAATTTGGGTACAGATGATAAACCAGGGTCACATTGGGTAGCTTTATATATCGATAGGAATGACGTCGGTGAATATTTTGATTCATATGGACGGGCACATGTACGAAATTGTAAAAGATGGAACTGGAATGATGATAGGACTTCAGTTTGTGGCGAATGTTGCTTAATGTATTTGCTATATAAGTTTCAGGGATGTTCAATGCATAGTTTTACGAGTATATTTACAGAGAACACATTGTACAACGATATGTTAGTGGAAGAGATGTTTCGCTCCTATTTTATAGATAATAAGTAATAAGATTTTGTATTTTATAAATAAAAATTTTAACAAAATTAGGTAATGTGTTTAAAAGATGGAACTGGAATGTTGATAGGACTTCAGTTTGTGGCGAATATTGCTTAATGTATTTGCTATATAAGTTTCAGGGATGTTCAATGCATAGTTTTACGAGTATATTTACAGAGAACACATTGTACAACGATGTTAGTGGATGAGATGTTTCGCTCCTATTTTATAGATAATAAGTAATAAGATTTTGTATTTTATAAATAAAAATTTTAACAAAATTAGGTAATGTGTTTAAAAGATGGAACTGGAATGTTGATAGGACTTCAGTTTGTGGCGAATATTACTTAATGTATTTGCTATATAAGTTTCAGGGATGTTCAATGCATAGTTTTACGAGTATATTTACAGAGAACACATTGTACAACGATGTTAGTGGATGAGATGTTTCACTCCTATTTTATAGATAATAAGTAATAAGATTTTGTATTTTATAAATAAAAATTTTAACAAAATTAGGTAATGTGTTTAAAAGATGGAACTGGAATGTTGATAGGACTTCAGTTTGTGGCGAATATTGCTTAATGTATTTGCTATATAAGTTTCAGGGATGTTCAATGCATAGTTTTACGAGTATATTTACAGAGAACACATTGTACAACGATATGTTAGTAGATGAGATGTTTCGCTCCTATTTTATAGATAATAAGTAATAAGATTTTGTATTTTATAAATAAAAATTTTAACAAAATTAGGTAATGTGTTTAAAAGATGGAACTGGAATGTTGATAGGACTTCAATTTGTGGCGAATATTGCTTAATGTATTTGCTATATAAGTTTCAGGGATGTTCAATGCATAGTTTTACGAGTATATTTACAGAGAACACATTGTACAACGATGTTAGTGGATGAGATGTTTCGCTCCTATTTTATAGATAATAAGTAATAAGATTTTGTATTTTATAAATAAAAATTTTAACAAAATTAGGTAATGTGTTTAAAAGATGGAACTGGAATGTTGATAGGACTTCAGTTTGTGGCGAATATTGCTTAATGTATTTGCTATATAAGTTTCAAGGATGTTCAATGCATAGTTTTACGAGTATATTTACAGAGAACACATTGTACAACGATATGTTAGTGGATGAGATGTTTCGCTCCTATTTTATAGATAATAAGTAATAAGATTTTGTATTTTATAAATAAAAATTTTAACAAAATTAGGTAATGTGTTTTATTGATGATTCAGATTAGTGTTGTAGATAGGAACAAAGGAGTATAATACAATAGCATAAGCCGACCCACACGCTGGACGAATAATAGATAATGACGGTAGTCAATCAACAATAGATAAGTAAATAAGGACAATGGAGCGCTAATGACGGTTGAGGCTCGTAGCGGATATCAATTAGATAAGAGTTAATTGATTTGCACATCTCCGGAACCGTGCATCCTACGCAAAAATGGACCGCAGATTCGTGATCAGAGCATGCCAAAAATTTTTTTTTTTTTTTTTAGGGTCGTGAGTCGACGAACGTCGTGCGCCAGAACTGGTACAACCTTTCTACAAGTGCGCCAGAACTGGTACAACGTAACTACTTATATATACTGTTTATGATTCGGAATGTTGATAGCGTGATTTAAGCTTCGGTGTGTTTAGCTTGCGGCGCGACGACAGCGCCGCCACACCAGCCTCATCGATACCGACGTTCATACATACCCAGGTATCGGTATGTTTTTGCCTCGGAAAGGGTCCTTAAGTTGACGGGCATAGATAAGTCTATGCCCGCAGAGTTAGCAACCCTTTCCCTCTCAACATGGAGGACCGCACATTTATCCGTCCCCAGCTCCATTCCAATAGAATTGCAAAATTCACAAGTGATGTTTAGCAATTCCGTAAGATAGGAGCGACTGGAGGCGAATAACTTGAGGTCATCCATATAGAAATGGTGGGTCACTTTTGTACCTCCCTTCCGAAGCTGAAATCCGCTCCCGAAGCCCTCCAGTAAAGTACTGAGAAAGTTCACAGAGAGGCAGAACCAGATTGGACTCAGACAGTCGCCCCGAAAGATCCCCTTCTTATCCTTATGCGGTTTTCCGCAGCCGTCATCCGCTCACCCAAATGACAAAGGATCGTACTCCACTGCCCCATACACTGCTCGAGGAAGTCTCTAATTGTACAGTCAATTTTGTACAGCTCGAGGACTCTCTTTAGCCATGTATGGGGCACCGAGTCGAATGCCTTTCTGTAGTCTATCCTTATTATTATTATTATTATGTTCTAGTAATTTTGTGTTTTGTTAAAGATAAAATATCTCTTTGCATACAAAGAAAAAACCATTCAACAAATTTGTGTAACTATTTAAAGTACGTAAAGTGTTTAATCTAAAAGAAACTGTATTATGTTATCTGTAAATAATATTTTTAATAATACGCCGGTAATAATTTTTTAAACTTTTTATTTGTACATATAGTTTTCTGTAGCCATGTTTATGTTTGTTGAAGAAACATATAAGTACCATAAAACTATATGAAATTATGGTAGGGTTCTTTTTTCTAGACCTATTTCGTAATCATCGATTGCTTTCATCATGACGTCTATCTTTGTTTTAATAAAAGGAATAGGGCTGGGCTCTACGTCTCCCACAATCTTGTATCGTCTTACAATAGCAGATAAAGCAGTCTTCACAGACATCAATGCGTATTGGTAACCTGGAAAATTTAATTAATTAAGTATAATATAATCATATCGTGCATTACATCCGGTTAGAAAAGTAGTAATTAATAAATGCCCTTGTATTTGAACAAAAACGTTAAAATTCCAGTTCAAGCTAACATTTGTGGAAAGACACTTATTGCAAATTTAGGGTATGGTTACTCGTCCACTTGTACAAATATGCCTCCTAAGTAGTTGAAAAGCCTTTGGTTTTAAATATAGTCTTAACTTGGAGCATATAATCTAATAATCAGGCGTGGTATCATTTAAAATCAAACAAGTATTACATTCAATGTAATACACTTTTTAAATGATGTCGAAATACAGATAAGAAAGTTGTGTATTTTTGTAAAAATACTCTGAGTGTAAGAAATTAGGAAGTTTAATAAAATGTCATAAATAATTTACAGATATTTACAGATGACGTTTTCAAGCTACTGGACTGGAAAGGAATTTCATTCAGTATCATTCGGTATTAACATCAATGGCGAGTACATCACTCACCTTCGATTTGCCGACGATATAGTCCTTATGGCAGAATCGTTGGAGGACTTAAACACTATGCTCAATGCCCTCAATGGTGTCTCCCAATCGATAGGTCTTAAGATGAACATGGACAAAACAAAGATCATGTTTAATGTCCATGTCACACCTATGCCGGTAGTTGTTGGGAGCACTATGCTCGAAGTTGTTGACGAGTACGTTCACCTGGGACAAATAGTCCGACTAGGTATGTCCAACTTCGACCGAGAGCTCAATCGACGAATTCAACTCGGCTGGGCAGCGTTCGCGAAATTACGACACATCTTCTCGTCAGGTATACCTCTTACTTACTTATCTTCACGCACATTCCCTAAAGGGATAGCCAGAGAGAACAGATCGCCAAGTGTCACGATCCTTACATACCTCTTTCGCTTCTTTCATGTTCATTAACTTCTTCATACATGCACGTCTAGGTATCCGAGTACTCTTGACCCTCCCCCTCTTCGAGCAATTTGCTCACATGGTCTTCGAAAGTTAGTCTCGGTCTACCTCGACACCTTTTAATATTTACTTTCGCTCTATATATTTTCTTCACCATTCGGTCTTCACTCATTCGCTCAACGTGCCCAAACCATTGGAGTACGCCCCTATCAATTTTTGTGATAAGGTCATCTTTCAATCCTGCCATATTGCGAATCTCTTCGTTTCGCTTTCGGTCGGCTATGGTAACGCCGCACATTTTACGAAGAGATCGCATCTCCACTGCATTCAACTTGCTTTTATGCTGCTTCTGGCATACCCAGGTTTCGCTGCCATATAACAAAGTCGGTACCAACACTGCGTTATGTATTGCAAGGCGTGCACTCTTCACCACGCCTTGCCTTTTGACTAATGCATTCAGGGCACCATTGACTTTGTTTCCGGCAGCGACACGCCTATCCACATCTAAATCACATCTTCCATCCCGGCTGAAAGCACTCCCCAAGTATACAATTTTATTTACCTGTTCTAGACATTCCTGATTTACCCATATTTCACATTTCGTTCTCTCTTCGTCCTTTTCAAATACCAGATACAGGTATACCTCAATCTCTGAAAACTAAAGTGCACCAGTGCGTGTTGCCAGTGATGACATACGGATCTGAGACGTGGTCCTTCACTGCTGGCCGTATGAGGACGCTCAAGGTCGCTCAGCGAGCTATGGAGAGGGCTATGCTCGGAGTTTGTCTGCGTGATAGACTCAGAAATGAGGATATCCGCAGTAAAACCAGAGTGACCGACATAGCCCAACGGATTAGTAAGCTGAAGTGGCAATGGGCCGGCCATATAGCTCGAAGAATCGATAACCGATGGGGAAGAAAGGTTCTCGAGTGGCAGCCTCGTACCGGTAGGCGTAGTGTAGGGCGACCCCCCACTAGATGGGGTGACGACCTGGTAAGTCATGCAGGAAGTCGATGGATGCAGGTGGTTCAGAACCGTGCTTTGTGTCATTACTTGGGGGAGGCCTATGTTCAGCAGTGGAAGGGCTGTAATGATGATGAATTTACAGATTAGATAACTATCTTCAACCGATATAAAATTATAATGCTTATGTACAATTATAAAGCCGTGTAGTGGCGGTTAAGAATATCCACTACCCCATATCTTCCCGTGGGTGTCGTAAGAGGCGACAGAGGGAGACAGGCAGGAGATGGGCAGCAGCATCTTCCTGATAACAGCAACTGTACGAAAAAAAAAAACTGCGGTTGCCAACCCGCTCGCCAAGCGTGGCAACTATGGCAATATACCCCCCATGAACAATTACACAAATAGACGGCCCCCAGTCCCCGGCGGCCCCGCTATTCCTGGCTACGGTGGCGACCATGGTAACGGCGGGGCAGGGGGTGCTAAGAATCTCCGGTGGAGGTTCGGTTGCCACCTACGACGACTCGACCTGGCAACATTTAACGCACGCACACTGAGGACTGACGAGAAGATCCTGGAGCTGGAAGAAGAGATAGACAAGTTGCGCTGGAGTATTATAGGATTATCCGAGGTCCGAAGAGAGGGGGAGGACACGGTGATTCTCGAATCCGGCAACTTGTTCTATCACCGGGAGGGCGACCATCTGTCCCAAGGAGGTGTCGGATTTATCGTCCACAAGTCTCTCGTCAACAACGTTGTACAGATTGAGAGTGTGTCGACGAGGGTCGCGTACCTGATACTCAGAATCACCAAACGGTATTCGCTGAAGGTCATACAGGTTTACGCACCAACGTCGGCACATTCCGATGAGGAGGTGGAGGAAATGTATGAGGATATTTCCAAAGCCATACATTCCTCCAAAACCCACTACACGGTGTTGATGGGAGACTTCAACGCAAAACTAGGCACAAGAGAAAGCGGTGAGCTGAAGTTAGGGAAATTTGGAGTAGGGCAACGGAACCGAAGGGGCCAGCAGCTGGCCGACTTTATGGAGAAAGAGGGACTCTTTATGATGAACTCTTTCTTCCAGAAGCGGCCCCACAGGAAGTGGACCTGGTCGAGCCCCGACGGTTCGACAAAAATGAGATTGACTTCATTATGACGACCAGACGCCAACTGTTCAGTGATGTCTCAGTGATCGCAAGGGTGAAAACTGGCAGCGATCACCGAATGGTTAGAGGCACACTGAACCTAAACGTTAAGTTGGAGAGGTCTCGTCTAATGAAGTCAACGCTCCGTCCCCCTCGTGCTCTGATCCAAAATCCCGAAAACTTTCAGCTCGAGTTACACAACCGCTTTCAGTGCCTACAAGATTGCAATGCAGTGGACGATATGAATGACAAGCTCGTGGAAACTGTCCATGCGGTCGGAGCTAAGTTCTGCAAGACCCGCCGCAGAAGAACACAAAAACTCTCCGATCACACTCTTAATCTCATGGCTGTTAGACGGGAGATGAGGCTGCAATCGTCAACAGATTTGACAGCATACAGGCAACTGAACAGACAGATCTCCAAATGCATGCGGCGAGACTTACGCAACTTTAATACTGCTCGTATTAAAGAAGCGATCGAGCGGAACCAGGGCTCCAAAGTCTTTGCCAGAGATCTGTCTGCCAGAAAGAGCCAACTGTCAAGGCTGAAGACTGAGTGTGGCAGCATCGTTTCCGGGACACCTGAGATTTTGAGTGAGATTGAGAGGTTCTATGGGCAGCTGTACACATCATCGTTGGAGCCACACGCAAGTGTGAGTAACGATCCAAGAGCAAGTCTTATCCGACACTATTCCGATGATATCCCGGACGTCAGTCTAAGCGAGATTAGAATGGCTCTCCAGCACCTTAAAAACGGCAGGGCCCCAGGCGAGGATGGAATTACAGCGGAGCTTCTGAAAGCGGGTGGAACACCGGTACTTGAAGTCCTTCAGAAGCTCTTCAATTCCGTCCTCCATGGTGGCACTACTCCAGAGGCGTGGAGCAGAAGTGCGGTGGTCTTGTTCTTTAAGAAAGGCGACAACGCTCTCTTGAAGAACTACAGACCGATTTCCCTTCTGAGCCGCGTCTACGTGCTGTTTTCGAGAGTCATTACGAATCGTCTCGCACGCAGACTCGACGACTTCCAGCCTCCCGAACAAGCCGGTTTCCGAAAAGGCTTCAGTACCATAGACCACATACATACCCTGCGGCAGATTGTACAGAAGACTGAAGAGTACAATTTGCCACTTTGCCTGGCGTATGTGGACTATGAGAAAGCCTTTGATTCCGTCGAAATTTGGGCGGTGCTGCAGTCCCTTCAGCGGTGCCAAGTTGACTGTCGGTATATTGAAGTGCTGAAGTGTTTGTACAGTAGGGCTACGATGGCTATCCGAGTACAGAACCAGAGCTCGAAACCTATCCAACTGCAGAGAGGTGTAAGACAGGGTGACGTTATATCCCCGAAACTCTTCACCGCTGCTTTGGAAGACGTTTTCAAGCTACTGGACTGGAAAGGATACGGTATTAACATCAATGGCGAGTACATCACTCACCTTCGATTTGCCGACGATATAGTCCTTATGGCAGAATCGCTGGAGGACTTAAGCACTATGCTCAATGACCTCAATAGTGCCTCCCAACGGATAGGTCTTAAGATGAACATGGACAAAACAAAGATTATGTTTAATGTCCATGTCACACCTATGCCGGTAGTTGTTGGGAGCACTATGCTCGAAGTTGTTGACGAGTACGTTTACCTGGGACAAATAGTCCGACTAGGTAAGTCCAACTTCGACCGAGAGGTCAATCGACGGATTCAACTCGGCTGGGCAGCGTTCGGGAAATTACGACATATCTTCTCGTCAGGTATACCTCAATCTCTGAAAACTAAAGTGTACAACCAGTGCGTGTTGCCAGTGATGACATACGGATCTGAGACGTGGTCCTTCACTGCTGGCCGTATGAGGACGCTCAAGGTCGCTCAGCGAGCTATGGAGAGGGCTATGCTCGGAGTTTGTCTGCGTGATAGACTCAGAAATGAGGATATCCGCAGTAAAACCAGAGTGACCGACATAGCCCAACGGATTAGTAAGCTGAAGTGGCAATGGGCCGGCCATATAGCTCGAAGAATCGATAACCGATGGGGAAGAAAGGTTCTCGAGTGGCAGCCTCGTACCGGTAGGCGTAGTGTAGGGCGACCCCCCACTAGATGGGGTGACGACCTGGTAAGACATGCAGGAAGTCGATGGATGCAGGTGGCTCAGGACCGTGCTTTGTGTCATTACTTGGGGGAGGCCTATGTTCAGCAGTGGGGAAGGGCTGTGATGATGATGAAAAAAACTTAAAATTACACCAAAATTTCATCTTCAACCGATATAAAATTATAATGCTTATGTACAATTATAAATTGCATGTAAATAAGTCCAAATAAAACAAATTAAAATTTCAGTAACCATGTTCTAGAAATTGCTGAAAATTGGTATTTTGGGCTAAATATCTTATACTAACTATGTAAATACTTAAGCTTCGACTTTAGTATGTATTTTTGCGAATCACTTTCTTAACACTTTTTGAAAACACTATTTGAAAAGGAGAGCTTTGTCCATAAAATAACAATACAATATTTACATGGCGGCAACGCACCTGCAATTCCCCTGGTGTTGCGGTTGATCATGGGCGGTGCTAGTCACTTAACATCAGGTGAGCCGCATGCTCGTTTGCCCCCTCTTTTATAAAAAAATCTTAACACTACTTACCAATACAGTTCCTGGGTCCATTGCTAAAAGGCATATAGCTACACGCGTGTTGCAAATTGAACCTCTCGGGCAGGAACCTGTCAGGGTCAAAGCATTCAGCATCTGGACCCCAATATTTTGGATCTCGATGAACACCCCAGATGCTGACTACTATACCAGAGCCAGCTGGAAGGACGCGACCTGACGCTAAATTGAAAATAAACTTAAGTTGCTTCCAGTGATGTATTATATAAAATTTTTGATAGGGTGTACTCATAATCTTAAATCACTAACCTATATATAGATACATAGAACATATAAAATAGCTTGATACATAAGTGTTGAAGAATTTCCTAAGCCGGCGGCAGCCGTGAGCTATGGTATCTCAGCGAATAAGCGCTCGCCATAGTATACGAGCGAAATTACTTTGATCACGTCGCAGAAGGTGCCAATGAAATTATTAATTTCAATTTAAAGTAATGATTTAACACGAGCTTGGTGGTGAAGGGGAACATAGTAAGGAATTCTCAATGTCGTATAAATTAAAATATTTTTATGATATGTAGTCCCCCAACACATTGGGTTTAGAATATTCAAAACTTTTTTCATCATCATGATTGCTCGTCGCACGCATCACTGTACGGACACATTAGCATGTGCAGCCGCGTACAAGCAATGTACGAAAAGAAAACAATTGGAAAAAATGTCGATAAATCATTCTAATGGCGGATCTACATTATCGCCGTGAATTCACGTGCAAATTCACGCCATGACTTCACGGCACAAGTCGTGCCCTCCACATTCAGAGGATGCTCACAATCGTTTGTGAAACCCGCCGCGAAATGGACGTAGAAGCTGCTGCTGCAATAAATTTGTTTGCTGTGGCAATATGTCACAATTTAGACGTCCAAAACAAGAAATTTATTAGAAAGCGTTGGAAAAAAGATGGTGGCACGGGGCCGTGAATGTGGATGTGTACGCGTGAACACCGCGCGAAGGGTGCGCGAACATTTTTTTTTGCGGGATAAAATACCGACGCTGATCGGTGAACAGTAGGCATGAGACCGATATATCAAAACATAACTAATAACTTTATGTCACCAAAATACCATATCATATCGATAAACCTAAGTACATAACCGATATCACATATCCAACCAAAACCAACTACCTAACCAACGTACGAAAACGAAACCGAAACGCATAACGCACACTGTGGAACGATCTCCCAAAACGGAAAACGGCCCACTAACCGATGTCCTCCATTGATGTTCATTGCTTCTCGTTCTTGCAACGATAATTTAAATAAGTATAGAAAGAGATGAAGCGAATATGGATATCGTTGCTATATTTTGGTAGTTATCACCTAACGGTGCACATCGCAAAAGATAATATATAGCTAAAGGAATAATGTTGAATTTTAAATTGTTAAAATTGCCTAAATTTAAGTATGTGTAGTTTTGAGAGTTATCAAATTTTAAACGATCTTTAGGTTATTGGACACACAAGGACAACACAAGGACACACAAGGCTTAGATTTGTGTGACCATATTATATTTTGTTTACATTTTGGATGGAATTTTTGCGTGCCGTGCCGTTCTCTTAGATATTATCTACAAAATTATAAATTTTTGACATTGAGTTCGTGCATTTATTTGCAAAATTTTTGTGCATTTTGTACATTAATTTTAATTCAGATATTTATGTCTATAATGACAATAATAGTATAGTTTAAGTTGAATTAGACTCTCTAAATTATTTTTGTAAAAAGACTTTCAAAATGTAAGGTTAGTGAAGTATGGTCTCACTTTGAAAAAAAAAAGTCAACTTCATGTACCTTGCTGTTTGTAAATATTATCAATAAATGTTGTCCTGTAAATTTACTACTGGAAACTTCTAACTCAAAAAAGTTTTCTGCTAATTCTAAGCCTAGTTAAACATCAATAATAATCGCCCAATTAAATAATCATTAATAGATAAACGACCTTTAATTGTCTAAGTAATTCGTAAAATAAAATTCGTTTTATTGTGCAGCACTGATCATATGATAAATCAACAGGTTGAATACCTGAATATTTGTCTATGTACATTCTGAAGACGAGGAAATCTTTTCCTAAATACAACAAAGAGCCATTGCATGGAATGTCTGGTTCTTGTCTGAGAGTGTCTGAGAGTGACTATATGCTTCTTCAGTGAGCGTCCTGCGTAGGATTCAAAATTAGGGTTAATAAATAGGGTCGATATGGATAACCGCTATTTATTCAATAACAATGACTTAATACAAATTTGTTACTTTACTTCAATGTATAAATATAGTACAATTAATACCAGCAATCATTCTTTGGAATCCAATTGCATAACATTCATTTGCTACCTCTAAATATTCCCCAGACGTCAACATTTCATATTTGCTACTTTTGCTGTTATTCTGTATGAACAGTCAGTTGCTCAATATTAAGTCCGCTATAAATATTAATAACTATCTATAGCGTAAAACTGAAAGTTTATTAATATTAGGTTCGCTAGCTGCAGGAGTCTATTTAGCTTCGTCAGGGGTTTTATGGTACTTCTTACTTACTTATCTTCACGCACAATCCCTAACGGGGTAGCCAGAGAGAACAGATCGCCAAGTGTCACGATCCTTACATACCTCTTTCGCTTCTTTCAGGTTCATTAACTTCTTCATAGATGCACGTCTAGGTATCCGAGTACTCTTGACCTTCCCCTCTTCGAGCAATTTGCTCACATGGTCTTCGAAAGTTAGTCTCGGTCTACCTCAACACCTTTTAATATTTACTTTCGCTCTATATATTTTCTTCACCATTCGGTCTTCACTCATTCGCTCAACGTGCCCAAACCATTGGAGTACGCCCCTATCAATTTTTGTGATAAGGTCATCTTTCAATCCTGCCATATTGCGAATCTCTTCGTTTCGCTTTCGATCGGTTATGGTAACGCCACACATTTTACGAAGAGATCGCATCTCCACTGCATTCAACTTGCTTTTATGCTTCTTCTGGCATACCCAGGTTTCGCTGCCATATAACAAAGTCGGTACCAACACTGCGTTATGTATTGCAAGGCGTGCACTCATGCATTCAGGGCACCATTGACTTTGTTTCCGGCAGCGACGCGTCTATCCACATCTAAATCACATCTTCCATCCCGGCTGAAAGCACTCCCCAAGTATACAATTTCGTTTACCTGTTCTAGACATTCCTGATTTACCCATATTTCACATTTCGTTCTCTCTTCGTCCTTTTCAAATACCAGAACCCTAGTTTTATTAGCATTCAAACGGAGACCTTTAATTTCACATTCCTCTTTCATACACGTGACTAATGCCTGCAGTTCTGCTTCTGATGGTGCAATAAGCACTGCATCATCAGCATACAGCAGACAATTTACTTTTATGTCACCCAATTTCACACCCAAACAGCTATTTTTCAGCTTCTGTAAACAGCTGTCGAGATACAGTATGAACAGCCAGGAAGACATGACACAACCCTGTTTTACGCCCGCTTGGACGCTAAACATGGGTGACAGGTCATGCCCTACCCGCACACAGGCTTTACAGTCATAGTAAAGTGACTGCACAGCCCTTAGCAATCGACCATCCACACCATATCTCGGTATACCTTATCAAATGCTTTCTCCAGATCCACAAAAGCACAGAAAATCCTCTGGTTAACACTCAGAAGCTTTTCCGTGATCATGCGGAGAGAAAACATTTGATCCGTGCATCCTTTTCCAGGTCTAAATCCGCATTGTGCCTCCCATAAGAATCTTTCCGATTTCTCTTGCATCCTAGGTGTCAAAACCTTCGAGTAAACTTTACTTGCTAAACTAGTCAAGCGATAACACCCGCAGTCAAAATGTGAACCTTTACCTTTATATAAAGGCACAATGATCGCGGATCGCCAATCATCCGGGACATCTCCCGTCCGCCAGCACAAGTTGCACTGCAGATGAAAGCTGTCCCAGATGCGAGGCCCACCGTACTTGACCATTTCAGCAGTAACTCTGTCTAGTCCCGCAGCCTTACCACATTTCAAACTTCGAATCGCACGTTCAATCTCTTTCATGCTGATGACCTCAGTGTCATCGAGGTCCGTGTCTGGCGTGCCAGTCATGGCGTTACCCCCGGATCCTTCACTAAGATCATGACACGCATACATTTCTCTATAAAATTCACTCCATCGCTGCATGACGTCCGATTTTTCTGAGAGGACGTCATTGGTTCTCGAAAGCACTTTGTTCATTCTTAAGGCTGTCGCACCACTCCGGAACCCTCCAACCTCTTTCCAGAAGAGTTTAGAGTTTTCCTTAAAGTTGTGCGACAACCTCTCGTCCGCTTCTGTTCTACACCTTTCACGTACTTCCTCAATCAATGTTTTCGCATGAACTTTCTGCAGCTTATATCTTTCTTTCATCTTCTCTCTCATATGCTTATCGTTACTAGAGGCCAAGTAGTCTAACCATGCTTTTTTCTTCTTTTTTACAGCTTCTCTCACTTCATCATTCCACCATGCATCTCTTTTTTTACTACTACCTCTATTTGTCGTTCCACATACTTCTTCCGCTGCACTTACCATTCCATCCCTAAGGTTCTGCCATGTTCTATCCGCACATTCTTTCCTGCCATCGATGGTGTCAAGCTTTTCGGCTACCCTCGTGTGATATTTGTCCATAGTATCCGCTTCCTGAAGCTTCCAGCTTCGGATGCGACAGACCGACTGTTGTTCTGTTACTGCCGTCCGGTAGCGCCAACCCGCGAACAAACCCCTAAATCTAGTAATTACTAGATAGTGATCCGTACCCAGGTCAGCACCCCTGAACACTCGTGTATCCATCACCTGTTTTCGCAGTCGGTCATCCACCAGGAACAAACCAATCATACTTCTCTCATTTTTTCTTTCTCTAGTGTACATATGGATTTTCCTGTGATTAAACATAGTGTTTGTCACAAGAAGACCCTTTTCCTTGCATACAGCCAGTATAAGTTTGCCAGCATCATTAACCCTTTTATCGCCAAACTTTCCAAGCACCGACTCGTATCCTGGTCGAGCGATACCTACCCATCCATTCAAATCACCACATGCAACAGTTCTTTCGTTTCCCTTAACCAAATATAGAACTTCTCTTACATTCTCCCAAAACTCCTCCAGCTCAGCTCTGGACGACGAAGCTACCGGTGCATAAACAGCCAAAAGGAATAACTTCGTCAGTCCCAGTTTAAAACGAACCCAGAGAAGTCTTGAGTACACAACCTTGTATTCAGTCATAAGATCGACCAACCGGGACGACAACAGCACCCCCACTCCCTGGCATGCGTTCTCGCTTTCCGGGACTCCGAACCATATAGCTAAAGTCCCGCCAGGGAGCTCTTCAGTACCACTGCCTTTCCGTTTGGTCTCCGACATACACACGACATCTAATTCTCTTTCTTTCATTATTTCGATCAACTCATTCGTCTTATCTCTCATGCCCCCTCTAACATTCCACGTGCCAACTTTGCACTCCGTCCTCCACCTTCCGCCGTGTCGGGCTGTGCGTGACGGGTGGCGGTCCCCATCGCCGCTTTGCGCGCTGCATTCCACACCAACGGGGACGAGCTGGTGTGCGTCGCCTTGGGGGGACGCCCTAACTCCGTTTGCATGGGTGCGCAGCTGTGTGGAATTGCAGCCCTGAAAAGGGCTGGCAGGGGTCGCGACGAGCACGCTTGTACAATGACCCTTGAAATGAATGTTTTATGGTACTTCCGGATACAAAATCTAAATATTGTTATATTTAGATTGATCTAATACCTTTGCAGACGCGGTTCTGCGTACAAATTTCTATCAATATATTTTTTTAGACATTCTGGGGGCGTTCCGTTGTTTAGAAAGGAAGCTTATCGACGTAACAGATATAGTATAATGAAAAAATATTTTAAAATATTTAAGAGACCTTGATACCACGGTCAATTTTAACCGGTACTCTAAATCAATTTGACGTTGAATTTGACATCTAAAACGTGTTGAGTAACGTATCAGTTTTAGTCATTGACTTATGTATTACTATCGTATTAGTATACTTAAATTTAAGGGGTGCTTAAAATTTGCATTAGATAATACCAACATAGAGTTTAGGAGCTGCTCAAACCTTTGAAAAGCCCTTAAAATTTGAAGGAAGTTTCTGTTTTCGGGGAACCGGGTATTTCCTCTAAGGCTTTTAAATTTTTAGATATTTTAAAAGTTTTGTTCATAGATTTCTTTTACTTGGTATAAGCTTTCACAACTATCCCATCTCATGATAATCAGATGGAAGTAATCGAAAATGTTTTTTAAAACAAATATTTTCTCCCTTCTTGTTACGTCATGTAAACATAAAAAGAATATTTGGCCAGATAAGCAGGGACAGAAAACTGGAAAATATTAAAAATGCAATCAATCACTATAATGCAAGCACCAAGTGCAGTATTATTGCAAATACGTTTTATAGACGGACCCACAAAATATAATAATATAAAATATAAACGTAGATATATAGATAGATAACACTTTATTGCACGCCAAAAAACATAAATATTAAAAAGGAGAGAAAGAAATGTGGCACAATCAGCGGCCTTATCGTTAAGAGCGATCTCTTCCAGACAACCTCTGGATGGACAGGATTGTAATAAAACATTAAAACTTGTGTGTGGTTTGGCGACAAAAATAACATTACTTTTATTATAAACCATAAAATAGAAATAAAGATGCATAATATAGAATGGTATATAATTAAATAGATAAGATAAATACATACATACTTATAAGTAGTCATTCCGTAATAGGACAGCTTGTATTATGTATGATCAGTTCAAAAATTTGGTAGTGTGAGCTGGCATTTTAATATCAAATTTTCTGATGAGCTAAGTCACTAGGAATAGTTTGTGTATATCTGAAAATTATCTGCATATAAATGATAGGGAGAATTTATCTAAGTGGATATTGAATTAATAAAAACTGAAAAAAGTGAAGATGATAAAACGCCACTAGCAATGGTGCTATACCATGATGAGAATGTATTATCAATGAGTAAGCATTGCCATTCAACCACCGTTGGAGATATATTAAGAGAGCTTAATATGCCCAATAAAATGTCTTAATCGACAGAATTAAATGCATTACTAAAATCCAGTAAAGCAAGTATAGATAATTTACCGTTCTGTATGCCATATCTAATATCTTCCGTAATATTGACCAAAACTGTGCTAGTGCTATGCCTTCGACGAAAACCAGATTGTAAAAAATTTAAAAGGAGATTATTAAAAAGGAAAGCGTTAAGCTGATTAGACACGAGCCTTTCAGGGGCTTTAGACAGGGATGGTAATATGGATAGGGCGATAATCAGAAAAGGATGCAGGTATTTAACTTTTTAGTCGAGGAATTAAGGATATGAAATAGGATTGGAATGATTATATCGAAAATTGGAAGGATCATAATACGACTGATACAGCCGTCGTCAAGCGCGTTGGAAGTAAAATGCTCTTCTTAACATCACAAGCAGTGAATTGATTGAAGGCAAAAGGTGAAATGTATGGATATAAACCCTGTGGTGACCACGTGAGAAATCCCTTTTCACCCTATGTTGTATGCTAAGAGAAATACCAAAAAAACCTGATGGCTTGCAATGATTTACCTATACAACCATCTTATTTACGCTAAAGTAGTATACGCAGACAGAATAGCGTCAATGGTCCAAATCGTCGAATATTGCGATTGCCTGTTCAGTCCAGTGATCGTAACTGTGATTGCTGACTATGAGGTCCCGGGTTCAAATCTCCGATTGGGCCAAATCTCAGTTATAGGGTTTTTCTGTCGAGAATTCTCAGTAGCACCCCGGAATCAGGAAGTTGGCTTTGTTTCAACCCGTGCCTCTGAAAGCACGTAAAGCCGTTGATCTTGCGCCTGATGTCTCTCTGGTTTTGTCGGTTTACGTTCCCATCGGACTATGAGAGTGAGGGAATAGAGAGTGCACCTGTGCTTGCGTATACACTTGGACACTATAATCCTGTTTGCCGCAGATAGTTAGTCTGCTTTACGACTGACCGCCAAGACCGAATTTCAGTCTGAAGAACTTTTTTTATTGCGAGCGCCAATCCACGCGTGACTATTATCGATAAAAGAAGAACTGGTTTAGAACTAAATAGATGATGAATACTCACGTAAAGCAACATCCTCTAAAACTTTCCTTATAATGAAAGGAACCGGAGGAAATAATCTTAGTGATTCTTTTACCACCCTGTCGAGATATCTTAAATTTATCAAGTCTTCTTTAACCAATGGTCGATCAGAGTCACCGAATACTTCTTGTAGCCTGTAAGAAGTTTTCATCTTATAAAAATGTACATTTTTTGATAAAACTAAGTTGTCAAACAATCTTACAGTCCACCTGATGGCAAGTGACTACTGCAGTCAATGGTCACCTTTTTACATGGAGTAATGCCTACGCACGCCCGCCTCGCAAGGGCAAGGATGGGATATGTCGGACTCGCACCGACTAAAAACCCCTAGTGTTATACCTTTGCCGCATACTGCCAGAGCCACGGGAACGCTTTTTCACACATCGGCGGCCCCACCAGCATTGGCCGCTTCATGGCAACCCGTCCTCGGTGAGTAATCCTCCCCCTCCCCCTTTTTCCTTCGTGGTAAGGACCATCATGAACACTAAGCACGCCTTCCTCCGCGAACTCAATTCCACCTGCGAACCCCCCCTAAGCCCGATACGCGGAGGCTATGGGCCAGGAAAAACGAGCACTCGAAAGCAGTAGCTTCCTTGTCCCCAGCGGCGGATCTGGTCTCTGGCTCCGCTGCCAACCAAGTTTTATCATGTAGGGTAGGGAGAGCGGCGTGTAATATTGACACTACTCTCCTCCCGAGGCCACACCATCACCGCATCAGCATCAGCCTACCAGAGTCGCGGAGGATAAGGCGAGTGACGCATCGCGATAGTCAACACCTGAAGCCAACCTCAAAGAAGGATGGCTACAGATGCGTTGTCATCTCTGAGAAATAACGTATTTTTTATTTATTTATCACTTTAAAACTCAAACTTAAAAAAGCTTAAGTAAAATTATAATAAGTAATCAAGTGAACAATACAATAATGTTCTAGTTAAGTTTGTAAAAGTAATACATGTCAAAACAATTTACTCATACAAACAAGAAAAAGTTAGACTAATTTAAAACCCTGTTGAAAACCCGCGGCTGTCAAACTGCTGTTGAAAACCCGTTCTCCATGCGTGTCAACTTCATACAAACAAGAAAAAGTTAGACTAATTTAAAACCCTGTTGAAAACCCGCGGCTGTCAAACTGCTGTTGAAAACCCGCTCTCCATGCGTGTCAACTTCATACAAACAAGAAAAAGTTAGACTAATTTAAAACCCTGTTGAAAACCCGCGGCTGTCAAACTGCTGTTGAAAACCCGCTCTCCATGCGTGTCAACTTCATACAAACAAGAAAAAGTTAGACTAATTTAAAACCCTGTTGAAAACCCGCGGCTGTCAAACTGCTGTTGAAACCCGCTCTCCATGCGTGTTAACTTCATACAAACAAGAAAAAGTTAGACTAATTTAAAACCCTGTTGAAAACCTGCGGCTGTCAAACTGCTGTTGAAAACCCGCTCTCCATGCGTGTCAACTTTGGCAAAATCCCGCTATAAGGAAATTTATGGGAACTTATGGAGGCCTCTGTTAAGCAGTGGACTTTTATGGGCTGTAATAGTAAACGAGGTAATTCCTACAGAGTATTTAACAATGCAATGACTAACATTTCTGTATAAACAGCTATTTTAAATTATTCTTAATGTTGTTGTTTTTTTCAAGGGCTCTGTTAAATTTTTCACAGCCTCTTTCTGGCCACCCAATTACGTATTTTGCCGCCAAATAACAGTCTGTGTTTCAGTCTGAAGGGTATGTGTTATGATTGAAATCTCTTTTTCGATGTAAAATATGGTGTGGGTATTACATTTCTGTAGATAAAAGCAGTGTTCCGTGTAAAAAACACAGTCACGACGTCATCTGCGTCAATAAAGCATTAAATGTGCTATTGCTTACACTCAACTCCCTTCCCACTAATAATGGTGTTCCTAATGATCCCAGTAATTACTGACAACTGTCAACAGCTTATTATCCTCGAGGCATAGACAAGAAGGTAGACTTGGTTGCAACCAAGTGCAGTATTAGAGCCCCATATCTCTAACTTTCTAACACACAACTACACATTACCCGGCTTAAAAATAAACAAGCTAAACAAACTAAATTTAAAACACCGCATAACGTTATATTAAGTACAATATGGAATACAAAAAAAAGTTAAATGTATTATAAATAAATTAAAAAACAGCTTACTCTTGAAAAACTTTATCTTGTACTTTTGGATATTTTGCTAACAATTTTAAAGTATATCCAACTGCCACAGCAGAGGTGTCTGTGCCTGCTACAGTTAAGGCCAGAACTTCTTCTCTCAACTCCTTATCGCTGTATCCTTTCTCACCACCAGAGAGTTTTATCAAAAGATCAAGAAACGATTGTCTCTTGTAGCTTCTCAGGTCTAAAAAAGTAAAAATGAAATATAGCATTTCCCTGGTATATAATTTACTATTTACATAAAATTCAGGCTTATTGTTTGTTTTTATTAACATCAAATCGCTTGCAACAGTCCATTGTAGGACTTGTGCCTCTTCCACTGTAAGTGCAAAATCTAATCTATTTAATGTAAATATTAAGAAAACTTTGTTTACCGTAATTGTGATCCACTTCTGTTTGATAACTCCTTTCCTTTTTCAAGTCTTCTCTCTTATTATGTATAACCTAAAAATAGTTCATTTATTTTTTATTCAATAAAGTCGCAATAGCCGTTTGGTGGCGATACAAGAGACTCCATCACCCTAGTTCGGCTTGTGGAGAACGTAAGGGAGACCAGACTTAAAATAGCCAGACATGCAGTGAACGGAATTGTCAGATATACGAAACGTAACTCTGATCGTTAAATCTGCCCGCCAGGTGTGACGATTGATCCTCACTACTAGGTGAGAGTTTATCATCAATGGATCATCTTAGATCTATAAACAACTATAGAATAAAAACGACTTTTAAAGAAGAAGAAAAAGAATAATACTTATATATATATATATATATATAGCTACGCGTTCTTAATACTTTTTTTATAGAAGAGGGGGGTAAACGAGCATATAGCTCATCTGATGGTAAGCGATTACCGCTTCTTATGAACAACTACAACACCAGAGGAATTGCAGGTGAATTTCTGACTTTTTAGAAAGGAGTGAGCTCTTTTCTTGAAGGTCCCTAAGTCGTATCGGTCCGTAAAAATCGCCGGAGGTCGTACGCGGAAGAAAACTCCTAGTGAAACGTACAGTGGTGGATCGCCAAGCATCCAGATTACATTTTAGATTAAACTATTACTAAGAACACAATTGGCATTTATTAATTAATCTACTATTGCGGCTACTTCTCTGTCAGCCAGGGTTGGTACCATCCTCTTATATATTTCTGCCACCATGCAACATTACCGTTTCAGTTTGAAGGATAAGTGAGCAAGTACCATTACAGCCTGTGAGGCATCCCATGTTAGTCTTCAGAGTCATGAACGCATATGTGACCTTATTGGTTTAAAATAGGTGGCAAGTTGCCGTATGCAGCCGTATTCACATACCATCAGGTGGACCATTAACTAGTCTTCCAAAAACACTGCAGGTGTCAGAAAAATAATATTATTCCTCGAACCACATATACCTATAAAAATAATACTATAAATAATATATTCTAATATAAAATGAGATTTTGTAATAAGTTATTTTATTTTTATTTTGCAAAAAAATATTGTGTGCTGCGTTGCGTCGAGATAATGTTAATTATCACACTTACCTCATCAATGAAATCATGTACCACCTTTCCATATTTCTGATGCTTTGAGTACTGTGGGAAGAATTTGTACAGCCAATCAGGTTGTAACCACAAGTGGAAAACTCTTTCAGTCACTAAATTGAGTAGAATTTGCATCGCTTTTAAAAATGGCGCATTTGGGTTTTCTTGTGCATTTATTTTTATTCCCATTGCCGTCTCTGTTGGAATTAAAATAACATTAAGTAACCCAGAATTTTATACTTTTATTAAGCCCCTGCGGAATTTTTATTTAGTTCTTGAACAGTTTTGATCGTGTGAAAGAAATAATTAGATTATTTGAGAGAGAAAAAAAAACAACAAGAACAACGGAACGGGTTCCCGCCTTGGTCCATGTCATCTGCTTCTCGCATCATGTGCCACGAGCCCCATTGCCCGGATTCTACTCACGGCCCACTACTATGGGTTGTAGGTTTTACAGCTAGCGAGAATGATCCTTCGCTGGCCGTTTGTTTGAGGTCAAGTTATAATTCTGTCGAATGCCTTCTATATGTCAAGAAAGACGTGCGACATATGATGTGCGGCTGCGGTTATGCTCGACCGCAAGAAGGCTGCACCTTCTTCACTCTGCACTTTGATTTTATGTGGCTGTTGAGTGATCCCTCCTGAATCCGTGCTACTCTGACCGAAGCTGTATGCACGGGCGGAGGTGTCTTAGCAGCAATTTTTCCAGCAGTTTAGCAATGTGCGGTAGCAGCATAATCAGCCAGTAGCTGGCAGCTCCACGCCTATCCTTCCCGGGTTTCAGTAAGACGATGACTTTGCCTATCTTCCAGTCTTCCGGGAAGTGGTATGTCCACAATGATTGCTTTTTAGTTGCAAAATATATTGCTTTTCGGGAGATCTCACTCAAGACAAGCCAACATATAATTGTACATTGGAAAAGTACTTTTTTTAAGGACAAATAACACCTTCATCAGAATATGCAAGCGTTTATCGCTAACCGTCGTATGATATAGGACGTCGGAATGATCGGATTACGCAGAATATTCGTTAGCTATCAGACTGTTGGACCGGAGAAAGGTTTTAATTTACCGATTAAGTTATCTCTCAAGTCTTTTATTAATAGACTGTAACTTTTACAGTATTACGGAAGCACAGGTTTTCAATATTAGGTCATGTGGTGCTTGCCATGCCTGAAAGATTTGGGGAACTCTAAAAATCTTCTGGTAGCGTACTGTCTTCATTATAGCGGAGTATAACAATTGACTTGTGGTGTTTTATTGGCCAAAAAATGTATGTAAATCAAAATAGGACAATTTATTATTTAACCGATTTAAAAAAAGCAGAAGTATCTATATTTTATTCGAGTGTATTTTCTCCATTTTTTTGTATGTATGTTAGGCGTGAACTGATATTCAAAACTTTTTTAATAAAAAGCTTAGTACTTCAGTGATGGTCTCATACAAAATTGTAGAAAACACCCTTGAGGGTGACGAAATAGGGGATGAAATTTGTAGTGGAACGCGCCCGCACGCCCTTACTGGGTTTATTGTTTTCCTTGATTTGGTTCTAGTTTACTTCATATTATTCCTGACTTGACTAACTATCCTGTCCTGATAGTTCAGAAGTTGTAGTGCACAAATAAAATGCAATTGTACATGTATAAGAATGTACTGTCGTTTCCACAATAATTTACTTAATTAAAAACTAAATTACATAAAACCTAAACTACCGAGCTACTGAGGTACCTACGTATCGAAGTACCGAGGCACCGAGGTACCGAGGATGACGGGTGATGGGGGCGACTGACTCGCTTGCGACGGCAGATTCAAAATGCTGATTCCAAACTGTAAACATAACGTACAGTCGTCACTACACTGGGAATACACTTTTGTAAGTTTCTTTATGAAAATCCTACTATCTATTTTCAATCATGAGCCCTAAATACATATTATGCTGGTGGACCAACTCCAAACTCAGACAAGCAATCCGTAACAGACGCGGAGGTGGAGTCAAATATGATTGGGAGCAGAAATATAGCTGGCTGCATTTTAGTTTCATTGTATAAAGTGTAAAAAAAAGTATTTTTTGTTTTTCTAGAATCAAATGACTGCTCGCTTAAGGCCAAATTACATTTCGAAGTACAGTAGCGAGTTTAGTTACACAGTAGACAGTTAGACAGTAAACGGTTAAGTGAGTAGTAGCGTTCAAACGTCTGTTAAAAAAAGCACAATTTTATATTTTGAGGGTCGAACGCGAACACGTTATACTAAACTTAACTCGCTCGTTCCAGCGACGAGATTAGCTGCGGGCGATGGGAGACGCGCGGGAGGGGGGGGGGGCTGCACTTCGAATTTGACTTGCCGAAAAATAGACCAGCCGGCTATCCCGTTCAACTTGTTAATATGCTACTTAACTTACCTTGAGCCGTGGTAGCTCAGATGGCTAACGCTCGCTCTAAATATAACAGAACGCGAGTAACGCGGGTTCGATCCCCGCTAGCACCAATGAAATTGTTAATTGCAATTTTAAGTGCTGATTTAACACGTGCTCGGCTGTGAAGGAAAATATCGTGAGGAAACCTGCATGCCTGAGGAAAAAGCAAAAAAATATTTCGAAGACATGTGAAGCTCGCTAACACGCATTGGGTCAGCGCGGCGGACACTTCCTTGCCCTAAAACCCTCTCAGAAATGAGGGGAACCCTGTGCCCAGCAGTGGGACATATATAGGCTGTAGCCTGTTGTTAGTTGCTAATATACTTGTCGAATTGTAAATTGACCTTTACTATGCACAGCAACATTAGGCTACTATTTTAGGCTGGTAATATTAATATTTTATATAAAAACTGCACAGTTAACAAATGGCATTAGCTCCACCAATCTGTTTATCGAAAACATATTATAAATACTTAAATAAATAATGAATAAAAATAAATAATGAAGCTTATCATACTTAAAGAACTTTACTATTTTTTAAATATAGAGAATTACAATTTTTTTCTACATAACTTTCCAAATTAGCATTGCAATACGTTTTTAGGAGTTCATGCTATATTAATTGGTCTTAGTACCATAGCATGCAGCACGTAGTAAATTTTACTTACCACACACAGCGTCGAGCGTGTAAGTGCTGAGAAAACGCCAAACGCTAACTTGGCCACAGCCTTCGACCTCCTTTAATTGTACAGCTAGCTTCTCGCTTTGTTTCGAAAATACTTCTATGAAATTTTCGATAATTTTTGGACTAAACGCTGGAATTAATATCTTACGCCGTTTTCTCCAGATTGCCACTAGACAAAAATAATTAAATAAATTGATAGTAATTATTTATACTACAAATTCCACGAATAACCCAATTTATTTTAAATATTGTATTTTATTCGACTCCAAAGAGTGAGTAATTTGTTCAAGGGACATTGGGTATATGATTTTAAAACAGTCTTCAAAAATATGCATCTATAAAAAACAATTAAAATATTTATCAGACCAAAGCTGTACAAAATGGGTTAAATTGATATAATAAATAATAAATTATAATATTATAGAGAACATGATTAACAACATCCCCTTCAAAGTGTATAAATTAAATGTACAACATTGTTAATTATTTAAAAAAAAATCCTGCTGCATTTCTTTCTGGTTTTTCTTAGAAGAGAGATACTATTCGGAAATAGTGATTAAAGCTATCATTCTTACGTGTACGTAAGTAAATAAGGTACAAGAGAATATTAAAAACATTCGCAGTAACATCTTTTAAATTCTTAAGCACTTACTTAACCTCTCAATTTCGTAGCGACCAAGAATAACCGCGGCGAAATAAAAAAGAGGAACTGCACTAAAGTTGAGGTTTAAAGGGGGAATATACCAATTTTCTTCAAGTGCCAACTATGCGCAGATACCACCACCATTCTCATGAACGAAGATGGTTCAGGCGACAAATTCATAAAAAGCGGCTTAAATCAGGCAGAATTGTAATGGGAAGCGGAATTGCGATTTCCCTCTGTCGCTATATACGACACTTACAGAATGGTCATATGAATTCCCTTACACCTCCACAACACGACGTAAACCCACGTATCGTAATATTATGTTCGTTTTGAATAATGGGAAACTAAGACATGTAAATAAGGCATTTCGCACCATGTAAAAAAACATAAAAAAATATGTATTTGAGATCGGCTTTGTAAAACGAAACAAGAAATGTTGATTTCAATTCACAAAAATGCATTATAACAATTTTAAGAATATTTTTGTAATCTGTGTGGTACTCGTAAATGTTCAAAACGCTATCCGTTCCGTCGTGATGTCACTTCGATAGTAAACAAGTCAATGTGCTGTGGTATCATTTCGAAATTTTTCAAGTTATCTCCACGATTGTTGACTTTTATTCCGTGTGTTATTGAAATGGCATTATGGAAGATGATTTGTATAAGCAGAAAGTACTGTGGCCGTGGAAGGAAAAGGGGAGATCGCCCGCCGAGCAAGGTGTTATGCCCGGGGAGCGGCCGACACTCCGAGTGATAGTTCGGAGAAGTTCTATATATACTGTCTATGATTCGGAATGTCAATAGCGCGATTTAGGCTTCGGTGTGTTTCGGTGTGCTAGTGGCGTGACGACAGCGCCGCTACAGTACTAATTATTAAATACTAATTAGCATCACCTTCGTACCACATCAATGGAAAACAACTTAAAGGGGTAGATTCTATCAGGGACCTAGGCGTTATTTTAGATAAAAAACTTCGCTTTCATAAACACATTGAGGACATAACATGTAGGGACTTTAATATGCTAGGATTCGTAATTCGTAACTGTAAGGAACTAAAATTAGCTACAAAAATTTTATTATATAACGCATACGTTCGTTCGATTTTGGAGTACTGTAGCCCAGTTTGGTCACGACACTACGAAGTGTATGTTAAGCGAATAGAACGTGTGCAGAAAAGATTTTTATGGCATGTCTCATTTCAATCCGGTCTGGCTAAGTAGTTCTTACCTTCGTCTTTCAATATTCAAAATGAAAATGCTAAAAAAATAGGCGCCTTAATATTAGATCATTTGTTTTTATATAAAATTGTAAGAGGTGGTCTGGATTGACCTGGACTGCTGAAACAGGAATCTCGCGAGAAGGAAACACCATTTGCTACCAAGGAATCCAAAAGCAATCTCGGCCATCACGCGATCATGAACAGGCTGCAACGGCAATACAATGAGCTCCAGAAAAAAACGGACGTAGACATTTTTTCAACTAGCCTCTCTAAATTCAAAAAGTTACTTCTAGGTCCAAGTTTGAGTACGGAATCATTTTGGATTAGTTTAGTTTTTCTTAAATTTTATTACTTTTTAAATAAGCATTAAACACTCACATTCGCATGTCGTGGCAGCCTGTAATTGGATCTGCACTTAGCTTAAATCTTAGATAATAGCTTAAGAATTTAATGTTTTTGGTGTAAGATTTGTTGGATGTCTTTAATAAATAAGTAATTAAATTTTTTTTGCATGTAAACCCGATTTTTGCCGAGTTGAGGAATGCTTAAACACCAATGTAAGTACTTGTTATGTTTATTTATATAATAACATCAAGTCAGAGTGTCTTTTGATAATACATGCTTATGTTTATTTATGATAACAATCTCACATAACCTAAGTTTTGTTTTTAGGTTCGGAAGGGAATCTGACGGGGATGACGCAATAGGCTTTGTGCAACTCAAGAGGGCGCAAAACACATATATCGTTAAGTTTACAATATACTCTCTCTCTCACTAGTCGGTCCCTCATGACTGAGGATCGTGATCACCATCACGGACAGTAAGCTTATTTTGTATGATCTCTCTCCACCGGGTCCTATCGCTGGCCATAGGTACGGAGAGCGTCGTAGAAATTTAGTGCAAAGACTTCCTTGACTTAGTCAGACCACCGGGTTGGAGATCTACCTCTGGGCCTTCTCCCTCTACGTTTCCAACAACTATCAATTTCTCAATACTTTCGTCCCCGCGGCGAGAGATATGACAAAAATAGCTGAAGATGCGCTGAAGACATGTGGTGGAAAGACGCGTCTTGATCTTGAGTTGAGAACGGGAAGAGTTTGTGACAAGTGTTCAATGCCAGGTAGTCAATAGATGGCTGCAAGGTATTGCACTTTTGATGTAATTTCGCCGCCGAATCGAAGGCCTGTTCTGCACTTCGGGCGATTGTTACTGGAGAAAATCCAATCTTTCTAAGGTCAGATCATCAATAAAAATTTAACGGCCGAATAAATTTCCATAAAAATCAAATTTCCATATAAACGGTAGTTAAAGTGAAATTATACTTAATCAAAATGATCTTCACAGTGTTTTCGTCTAGTTTTAGTAGTTCGGGTCACTTTTTTCTAGTTTTTACCAAGTATTTATCATATTTAAACCAAACTAACTAAATTCATAACTTCCCCGGCGTTCTTACGCTCGTTTAGGCACCAAACATCAATAATAAAGATGTTAACTCATTATTAACCATTTAACAATATCTTATTCCTTTGCAAAATCGTTTTATTTATTATTGCAGTGACGTCACGAGCTGAACAGAACTTTATTTTTTAAGATAATTTAAAACGATAGATTAAAAGTAGTTTTTATGGCTTTATTCGGTTTAGTGGTGCATTATCACTAGGAATTCGTAAAACTGTAGACATCCGATATTTCCGTATGTGGGTTGGTGATGCATTAGAAACCCCTCCTACCCTTCCCCTCTTGCGGAAATGTAATAGTTTATGTATAATGATATTTTTTGTAAAATCATAACTTCAATTTACATAGATATATTTACCCAAAGTTTCTTCTGCAACAGCTTTGGCGCTGCGGGAAGTGCAGCCCCATTGCCCTTGCGTAGCAAATCGCAGGCACCCATGCTCACCTCCGTAGCTTTAGCTTATTGGCGACCAGCCTCAGCCACTACGGCTCGCACGTTTGCCTGCAATTTGCTACTCTTGCAAGGACGGGGGCTATTCTTCCTCCGCGCCTACGGCTTTACAAAAACCTTCTACGGGTAGGGCAGGCAAGAATAAGTGGAGTAAGGGCGTGCTGATTCGGTTTTAGAACAGATTCGACCATTATTATCGATAAAGACAGGTTGCCTTAAAGGCTGCTATGACAGTGGTAGATATAATGTAAATTGATATAATTTTGTTTACCGAAAAACCTTTTGACTGCTGTCTACCGTGACTCAATTTGTTGTTACATATGAGTTTCCCCTACAGCCACAAATTGATTGTCTGGGTCCGAGTGATTAACTTTTTATGGGTGTATCCGTGTTAAAAAAAAGCAATTAATCTATTAAAATATAGCAAATATTTTACCTGGTGCAAAGATTCCACCGTATCCGATAATTTTTCTCATAAAACGATGCAGATCATCTTTCTCCAAACATTTTTTTAATATCATCTCCAGGTCCAATGGGTCTACAACGACTGTTAGAATAATATTAAATAAAGATTAGTGTTTTATAGATTTCAACGTGTTCAAAAATATAATATTTATCTCGTTAAGAAAAATCACACTAAAGAAAATGGCTTTTAAAAATGATTAATATGTATTCTTTCAGGTGCAAAAGGACGCAATAAGATGACCTGCAAAATTCTTAGATATAACATTTAAAAAATAAACCTGTCTATTTCATGAGGGTGCTTTCAGGTATCGTTATATTGCGCACCATAATTTTATAGAACTGGGACAGTTTTCTAGAAAATTTCATGCTAGAACTTTCCCACTAGCGCCATCTAGTATCGAGTGGCAGAACTAGGATGTGTTCTATTATTGTGTGTTTTAAGTTGTAATTGGACTACTTCCTGGTCGGTCTACAAAATTCAGTTCGAGGCTGTCATGGAGGCTAACGACTGGAATAAAAGTCAGGCTAAGACTGCATGCATCCTAAACCTGCGTGACCTAGCCTTAACTGTTCTGGAAGCCCTCGGTAAGAAAGTGACTTACGAGCAGCTCTTTGAGGCATTGGAGGCGAGATATGGCGACGCGCACCTGGAACACGTCTTTCGTGCGCAGCTTAAGAATTGCGTGCAACGCAGCAATGAAAACCTGCAGTAGTGGGCCCTTGAGGTGGATAAGCTGGTTCGAAAAGCATACCGGTCTGCTTGCATCTTCTTCATCTCATCTTGCATCAGGAAGATTTCAGCAGCTACAGTTCGCCACAGTAATAAGGAATACAGCCCTAGGTGCTATGGCTGTGGGGAAAGAGGCCGTTTTCGATCCATCGAAGTGATCGATCTCGAGAGAGTAATGTAGTTAAAAACACCACCGAACAGCAACAAAAATATGACTTTGTAATCAAACACCGCAGAGGGAAATCTCATGGCAACGCAGATGCATATTCAAGAAGACCTTGTCCTGAAGATTACAGGAATTGTACTAGGCAAGACGGTAAGGAAGTGGTATCTGTGAGGATGCTCAGGACAGATGATCTCAGCAACGAGTGGAAGGACAGCCTACAACATGCACAGCGGGAAGATTCGGACATGAAGCCGATTCTGGAATGGATGAAGACCAGTGCTCCCAACCCCAAATGGAGCGACGTCTCAGCGATGGGTTTGACCACGAAAAGCTATTGGGACCAATGGGACAGCTTGTTGATTCAGGATGGAGTTCTGTACCGTAAATGGTCGGGGAGAGAGCTGTAATTTGTAAATGGTTGTTCCTAAAGCTAAAGTGCCGAGTGTTCTACGCCTGTACCATAATAGTTGTTCAGGAGGCCATCTAGGAGTTAAACGAACTCTACTGAAGATCCAAGAGCGGTTTCACTGGGTCTACTGTCGTGATGATGTCAAGGATTGGTGTCGCAAATGCACAAGTTGTGCGGCTGTGAAGGGACCTCATACTCGTCGTAAAGGTACATTGAAATTGTACAATGTGTGAAATATTATATGTAAAGTACATAACTTACTAAAATAAAGGTAGTATCCTAGCCATCCGCGTATAATACCATCATTCTTCATCGCCAAATAGCTGAATTTTTGCATTGTTGTCATTATATCTGAAATCAATTTAAAAAAAATTATACGAAAAGCTATTTACAAACTTTATTATATAGAGGATACTATCGGTTCTTCGGAAATACCTACAAAGCCGTAAATATTTTAAAATTAGATTTTCACCTCTCCACTTGGTAAATATCTGGGGGTAATTTGATTTTTTAAATTATAACATGAATAGTTACTTTCGTACAAAAATTGTATCATTTTATAATAAATACAGCTGCATCCACACCGTAACATAATATCTGCGATGTCATGAATCCCACAGCTAGGCACAATCCTCCACTAATTTTAAGACGGTTTCTCTACGCATCTACATTGGTCGTTTTATTTATTCACTTACAAACTTAAAATAAATCTGCTTATTGTAATATTAAGATGGTACACTTTTAAAGCAAAAATAAATTTATATATTATATCATAAATAAGCACGGGCTTGATCTAACTTGCAGCTTAAAAACATTTTAAAATAGGAAAATGTTTCTTCCCAACTTCGTATCACACATTTATCTCATTCATAATGACTTTATTATTTAAACTTTAATACTCTTCGTCTTTATTTTAATAGTATTTTTATATTTTAACAAAAAATAATACTCTATGAAAAAGCAAATTCTTTTTTCGGTGAAAAGAGCGAAGCTCTAGCTGTTGAGCATTAATAAAGAAGAAGGAGAAAGAACTTGCTACTTTTGTAAAGACTTCTCTTTGAATGTAGGCAGGATTTTAGTTTAACGTCACGATTGGCAGGGGGATTCGGTGATTGCGGTATCAGATGTCCAAACGCTGATTCACGTCGCGTCGCCGGGCGGGGTTCGCCATATCCGTTTGATTTCATTATCAAATATTCATCATAAGGTTGACAAACGAGAACATAGTCCACCTGATGGTAGGTGGACTGTGGCCCATAGACATCTACATCTATCCCCAATTAAGAATCAAAATGCGGATGCGTTGTCAGCCCTGAAGACTAAGATGGAACGGTTCTGTACACTCACCAATCAAAACACAGCTGACCCATTCGTGCTACAACTATAATATAGCTGCTTCGTGGCTCTCCCTCATTAAATATGTCCCAATATGTCGGTTATTTTATTATTTTATTTTAGTAACAGGGACTTACAAAATTGTAAAATTAGTTTATAAACTGCGATAAATACTATGATAATTTTGCTAGACGAAATAGGACTAATTATTGGCCTCTAAATTAAAATGTTTTTTTTTAACAGAGGTTATAAAAGAAAAGAAAATATTACTTTAAGCTTAATAACAATATTGTGTCCGTAGAAGGAAAAGTGGAAATCTCCCGCAAGGTGTTCTGCCCGGGGAGCGACCAACGCCCCGTGTGATAGTTCGGAGATGTTCTATATATACTGTTTATGATTCGGAATTTTGATAGCGTGATTTAGGCTTCGGTGTGTTTCGCTTGCGGTGCGACGACAGCGCCGCCACATCACCCTCCGGTCGATACAGCCTCGTTTCCGACGAATGTGCAAGTGCCAGGAGATTGCCTTGTAGTCTGCGGTGAGTCAACAAGAAGGCAAGTAATCTGCGAGAGTGCCATGAAGCAGAGGCGAGCAGTAAGGCTCAAAGCCGGGCCGAACACTGTATAGCGAAGAGAGTAGATTGAAGGAACAGGAAGCATTATTCTTCCAGTGCTGCGATGAACCTTGTGAAGCTAGATGGCTTGCAGGATATGAAGACTGCAGACGGTATCTGCTCGGGAGCGAATGGGTGGGGTATTTTATGACGATGATGGAAGCTTGAAGTTTCCGAAAGTTGTAGGTTGCGTGTTCAGATCACGTCGGGGTCACCACTGTGGCCGTGGAAGGAAAAGGGGAGATCTCCCGTGGGCAAGGTGTTCTGCCTGGGGTGTGGCTAACGCTTCGTGTGATAGATAGTTCGGAGATGTTCTATATATACTGTTTATGATTCGGAATTTTGATAGCGTGATTTAGGCTTTGGTGTGTTCAAGTTTCATGTATGTATACATGAAAATGTTTAATTTTTGGGGTTATAGCTGGACACATTGTTGAGATTAGTTTTTTATTGAGATGAAATTCCTAATGAACTAAAAATTTTGTCTAGGCCTGCTTGGGGTATACATCCCAAGCATATGCATGTAATAAGTACATATCTCTCTATTAACAAGTTGGCTAGATTTTGAATGCTTTTTATACGATAATAGTGCTAAAATACATCCGTGTAAAATTGGTAAGATCCAAAATAAATTTCTTTGAATAATAGGGGTTTCATCAAAAGTAAAAGGCCACATTACCACTATAAACATTAAATCTGTAATTAAACAACTTTAAAAAAGATTAATAAGCTGCATTTAGTCTTCAGAGTTTAAGAGTGTAAAATGTCAAAAAAACAGTAAAAATTATCACATATTGGAGACAAGGACAAAAATGATCAAACAAGTAAAATTAAGACGACACATCGAAAAAGTGGCTCCAGGCTATCGGCATACTGATCCGAGTGAATACTTAATTTCTTTAAACACTTCATACGTCATAAGGTCTAAAATTGCGTAGCGCCCGCGAAGGTTAAATGCGCTTAGAAATAGTCAGAATCTTAAGACATTTTTTTAAAAATTATTGATTTAAGTAATCAAAATAATGAACAAGTAAATTATGAATATTGATGTTATGAATATATTTGAGTGATTCCCAAGCATATAGATTAAGTAATTTCGTTGTAATTTCAACTAAAGTGATTTTTAGAGGTGTTTTCGCAAATAATTATGATCGAGTCAAAATTATACAATCGTGTTTTTGAACAATCAAATTCAAGATAAAGACATGAATTTACCTATATCAAAATTCCACTGTCGTTAGTGGTGTCATAGTCCTATACTATTTGATGAAACAAGGTGCATTTTTTCGCGGTGTCGCCTTAATAACAAAAAACATTGATTTATATAACACTAGATCAGTAATAACCGCGCCAAAGCGTTGTCACTGCAAATATGGCCACAGCCATATGCCTAGCTAACGTGAGTTCATTGTTCAATGTGACGCCGACAGAGTTCAGCCGCGACAAAAATGGGTAAATGCGCACTAAAAGAATGCTATTCAAGGTCACAAAAACTTAATGAATCAAGCGGAATCACTTTCAACACATAATTTTAAGTTCTTGTTTTCATATAAACGTAAAAAACCTCAAATAGTTAAATGAAATTATCGAATATTGTCATTTAGGTTCAATGTTGCCACTTTTCCGTATTTGTGATTATCCTACATTAATGGGAGACTATATAATTAATGGAATAAGTTAATTTGTTACCTCTGATTTTAAATGTTTTGGAAAATATAATAAAAACTACGTTTTAACTTTCATACAAAATAATTAATTATACATATTTTAGTTTATTCATGTATATATATATATATATATATATATATATATATATATATATATATATATATATATATATAACCTTGCACATAATACGTGTATAATTATGGTCGACTTAAGTACCTACCAAAATAAGCCAACCTAGAGCGGATGAATACTTGATAATTAAATCAAACAGAAAGAAATTCAAGTGGACAAAGACATGAAGAAAAAATAATTGTTCTGGGTAATTTTCCTTCAAATAATATTGAGGGTCCCTTAAAACGCCTTTCTTCTTGAAAATGCTAAGCTTCGTGACGAGATTTGTGAAAAATACAATTATTATTAGACGAGGTTTATCTTTCAGTTTCCCTTTTCTTTTTATCCCCTGTATATAACTGGCTTCTTTATTAGTGAAGTGTTCTTTTATAAAGTTAATTATGATCTTTTGTTCTTTCGTAAGTCATTATATAATGTTTCGTTCTCATCTATTACAAAGAAAACAATAATTCTCTGTCTCCCTTGTTTTTTTTTCAAGAAGTATTTTCTTTTCTATCTGATTTCTCTTTTAATTTTTGATGATCTTCCTCCAATTTCAAGAATATTTCATCGAGCATTTTCTTGATATTTTGTGTAACCTGCTTTGCTACATTTCCACTTTTCCGAATTTCTCTTTTTTTGTTATCTAGTTCCTTTCGTATATATTATACAAAGGCGCTAATAATTTCCTCCATTATTAAAAAAAAACTAATTTAAGTGTTGCTTTGTTTTGGTAAATAAAGCACCCTCTTGTGCTCTGTCGTTAACCTATCACGTCTGTGTGATTATCGATGAACGCGCGGTCGGATCTTGGTATAAATGTATTTTGATGTTGTATGAGCTATATGTACGCCTTGCAACGGATGGCATTGTACTTATGCTTTAATATGCTAACGTCTGCCAAGCTATTCGAAATTGCTATTTGTTTTAATTTGAGGGTATGTTAATAAATAATCTTAGTGTAACCTGGTGTAATATAGGAAAAGTTTCAATGAAGGAGACGTGTGGTTGGTACTAAAACTTTAATTAGACTGCCTCCTTATTCTACCTTAACACTAAAGTATGTTAACGTGGAAGCACTACTCTACACCTCCCACCGACAAAAGAATAAAAAAAATGCTATCTATATATTTTTTTATCAATTCTTAAAATAGATCCTTAAGATTATTCTAAAAAAGGTTAATATCATTATGAAAACTATAATCTAAGACATATCTAGCACTCAAAAATGTATAGTCACAGTAGTATAATTGACATAATCAGGCATAATTATGTGTAATATAAAATTATGTTTGGATTTTCACAAAAATTTACAATATTATTTATTAGTATCCTTAATCATTTTGTTATTATGCCTACCATTTATCTAGTCAGGACAATAATGATAATATAATATATAAATTACGTGTCACGTAGTTTGTCCGCGATGGGCTCCTAAACTACTCAACCGATTTTAATAAAATTCTCTTAATCTTCAAAATCTTTTACATTTATTTTCTTTTTTCATATATTTACTTCATTCTTAGTTAACCATTACTTATTTATTTTCCTATTTTATCCATAACTAGTACTTTGGCTATTTATTACACATGTATGTCATTTCTTTCACG